CCAACAACCACCCTATGCAAACCCGCTCCAAATATGGTATTTTCTGCCCTAAACAAATCCTTAATCTCAACACTTCTGTCCCCATCTCCCCATTACCCCCAACCTACCGTAGTGCACTAAAAGATCCAAACTGGCACGCTGCTATGTGTGATGAATTTAATGCCTTGATTAAGAATGACACATGGGAATTAGTGCCCCCCTCCCCCTCCCAAAACCTTATCACCAGTAAATGGCTTTTTCGACACAAATTTGGCCCCTCAGGTGAGTTATCCAGGTACAAGGCCCGTTGGGTGGTTCACGGTTTCAACCAACGTTTTGGTGTTGATTATGACGAGACCTTCAGCCCCGTTGTCAAGCTTGCCACTATACGTATCGTCCTCAGCCTTGCTCTGTCTCGTGGATGGCCCATTCACCAACTTGATGTCAAAAATGCATTCCTTCATGGTCAGCTACAGGAGACCGTTTATGCCAGCCAACCTTCTGGGTTTCAGGATCCCACTCGCCCTCATTATGTATGCAAACTCAAGAAAGCTCTTTATGGTCTTAAGCAAGCACCACGCTCTTGATTCCACAGGTTTGCAGGTTTCATACAGACTATCGACTTCTGAGGATGCAAGGCCGACACTTCCCTATTCATTTTCTCACAGCCCATGGGCACGGCCTATCCGCTTCTATATGTAGATGACATTGTACTCACGGCATCCTCCCCGACACTGCTTCAGAGCCTCATTCAGCATCTTAAGGCTGAATTCTCCATGACAGACATGAGTGACCTGCACTTTTTCCTTGGGATCATTGTCCAGCGCACAGCCACCAGCCTCTTCCTCCACCAGACTCAGTTCACTCATGATATCCTCGATCGGGCAGGGATGGTCTCTTGCCACCCCATCTCTACCCCATCTCTAGCACAGCTGGCTCGACACTACCCGACCTATCCTTTTACAGGTCCATTGTTGGTGCAGGGCAGTATCTCACCTTCACTCGTCCTGATATCACATATGCAGTTCAGAACCTCTGCCTACACCTCCATGCACCACGCGATGCACATCTCACTGCAATGAAGCGAGTTCTTCGCTATCTTAGTGGCACTGCCACCCACGGGATCCATCTGACACGATCCACCACCGATTATTTACAGGCTTACTCCGATGCTGATTGGGCTGGCTGCCCTGACACCAGACGCTCCACATCAGGTTACTGTGTTTTTCTGGGCGACAACCTCGTTTCCTAGTCTTCCAAACGCCAGGCCACCACCTCTCGTTCTAGTGCCGAGGCAGAATATCGAGTCGTTGCCAATGCCGTTGCAGAGACCTGCTGGATCTGGAATCTTCTTCTTGTGCTGCAACACCCACTCCGTCGTGCCACACTCGTTTTCTGTGACAATGTTAGTGCTGTCTACCTATCATCAAATCCGGTGCAACATCAACGCACCAAGCACGTCGAGGTTGATATACACTTTGTACGCGATAAAGTGGCGCTTGGCCATATCAAAGTCCTTCATGTTCCTTCATCCTCTCAGTTCGCCGATATCTACACAAAAGGACTGCCCTCTCTCTTATTTCTGGACTTCAGAGAAAGCCTGGGTATCCGACCCCCAGCACATCTGACGTAGCCGGGAGCATGTTAAATATATTAAATATATTTAATATTATTGTATTATGATATGTTTCCATACTTGTATAGCTTTCCTAGAATACCTCTCCTAGCATAACTAGGATTGAAATGTTGTATATATATACATGTACTCACATAATTAATCAAGGAAAATACAATTCTTCAAATATCCAATCCACAACATCATTAACAAATCAATAAAACAAATACCTAACATCATCCATAAAAACAACATCATCATCCACCAAAAAGTCACAACAATAACATTCATAGCAATGTATCATAAATAAACAAGGCAAAGCATAAAAGGAGAGAGGAAGAAGTCAAAGAGAGCTCGACGGGCGCGATCCTCCACTATAGCTCTGGCGCGGTCCGAAGTAAGGTCATCGCTCGAGCTCTGTCTTCTGTTGCTCTAGGCATGAGAGACGATGTCCTTGCATGGTCATCTCCATGCGAGTATGCGCCACATCCGTGTGAGTGCACGTCACCGCATCCAAAATCCTTTGAAGGAGGGACAGGTGAGAACAATGTGACGATGTAGTGCGTGATACACGAGATGGAGAAGAACACCGACTTGACACTTCTTGAGGCTCAAATGGCTCGATTTCTTGGATACCCGTCGGTGCTCCTTCTGGGCCGATCCAGAAACTTTGATCAAGAAACCACGACCAAAAAGGGAGTTGAAAATCTATCGAGCTAAAATATATCCTGTAGTAGCTCATCTTATACAACTAATTAAACATGTGAAATTAATTAAAGAAATTTAGTGCATTATGGCTTTATGTATATATATTAGATGATTTTTTATATGAAAACTTTGTGGTTTAATGTATTCAATAACTTTTTTAATAATTAAAATTTTCTTAAATACATAATAGGGAGTATAAAAAATTGATCAAGGTTTATATTTTATTTGAGATATTATATATATTCACATCACGGTATTGATATCTTTAAAAGTATTTATGTACGATATAAACAGTATTTATGAATGATAAAAAATTTATTTTGTACTGAAAGTATTTTCCTAAAGGAAATATAAATTTTAAAAAGAATTATTTTCATCCTCTTTATTAGTAGGACTTTTTGAGCCTTTATTTTTCTTTATTGGAACATAATTTTCCTAGAAAAATATATAATAGTACAAATAGATAATTGAAAAAAATAAAATCTTGATATTCATATATTTATATATTCAAGTATCGAATGACAACACATATTTTTGAATAGAATATATTAAAATAGTTCTAGCGTACTAAATGGTTTGAAAAAAAGTATGAATACCTCATTTATTTTTCAAAACTTATTAAAAAATGTCTATCATTTCAAAAGGTTGCACACGCACCACATCAATTCGTATTATTTTCCGTTCACTTTTTCATTAAAAGGGGACATTGATACACATTTCAATCAACACGAGCTCATAAGCATCAATGCATATTATCATTTTTTGCTTTTTTCATTTATAATTGTTCTTTATAATGTTTTAAAATTTAAATTGGTTTGTATTAGAAATAAAAAACCGAAATTAAAAAAAAGCATATAATTTCTCCATCTAAAGTTGAGCATTTTTGTTTTTATAAATTTGGATGAAAAGTATTATTGTTTATTCGATGTATATGCATTTGCATGTAACAAATTATTAATTCCGTATAATAATAATACACATAGGTTCTACATCCACTCATTTTAAGTGGTTCTAGATGACACTAGCTTCAATAGAAGTATCTACGGTGTTCCGTTCACAAAATTAATGGTTCCTACCCTCGACACCCCAGTAAACCCCCACCCTAGAGCAAATGGCTCTAGAATTGTTTCGATAATAGTAGTTGCAATGATGATGATGATGATGATGATGATGATGATGATGATGATGATGATAATAATAATAATACAAAAAATGCATGCAAATAATTTTTTAAACACTATTGAAAAGAATCTGAAGAAGTTAGATGAAACTAAAAGAATGGAAAAAGTTTTGAAAATGTTTGAAGAGGTTGGAAGAATTAAATTCAAATAAATTAGAAAGAGTTGGAAGAAACTAAAAAAAGTTAAAAGATAACAAAAAATTGGAAAATATTGGAAGTTCAAGGTGCATTTAGTTACGTTGTGGGAAAATATGTGTCTAGATGATTATTCTAGGAGAAACTAATTTTCACAAAAAATCATTCTCTCCCACATATTTTATTGAAACCATGTTGATATTTTAATAAAAACAAAGATATTTTGAGATACTTTTAAAATATTTTAGGGGAGCATAATTTATTTTTTGTACACGATCAATTTTGAATCTTTTTATAGTGCTCCAATCTCTGGGGGCGGCGAGGGCGAGGAGAGATGATAGGGGTGTGGGAGAAGGGGTGAACTTGATCGAGGAATTAGAGTATTTGAGGATTGAGTAAAAAATAAACTTTGATTGAAAACAAACAAAAGTCATTTTCATCTCTTTGAAAAAATATTATTCTAACGAAATGATTTCCTACCACTTATGTAAACTAACATTGGAAAGTAGAATTATAATTTTCTAGAAAGTGTCTTTCTTTCAACCAAATAGATCCAAGGAATTGCAGAGTAGGATCCAAAAGAACATAATCTTAAAAATTTGAAGAAATTTTTTTAATGAACAATAATTTCGTTATGCCCCGTGCGTGGCACAGGTTAAAAAAAACTAGTTTAGTAAATATATGTCACATTGTCTTTGCGTATCGTCATTAAGTTTTAAAGAAACCATCCTCAATGAACTAAAACATAGAAAAAGTACCAAAATATGACTTCTTTATTTTTATCCCAAAAATAAAAGTCTGCACTGTGATAATATAGTACGGTATATGGATATTTCACCATTTTCTTTATTGAGATAGAAATAGTTCCTTAGTCTATTTTATATTTGGCCCGTAGTTATCATCATCATCAGACCCAAGGCCCATGTAATTTCTATTTATACTCTTATGTTGTGAATAATTAGCAACATGATTATTTTCCAAATAATTACACATGGTATCAGAGCAGTTAGGAGCGAAACCCTTGGTGCTCTACTTCCGCTCGTCCGTTTCCATTGTTTGACGGAGAAGCCTGTTCGGCGCCGTCACAGTCCGTTGTTGTCCGGAAAAGAAGGCTCAGTAGTCCGTAGTCATCCCACGAAGAAGTCTGTCCAGAGCCGCAGTACAACATGTCCAGCAAGAAGGCAAACTTAATCCATGATCCGTCCACCATATATTATCTACATCCGTCCGAAGGTCCTGGTAATTCCCTAACGAAATATGTGCTTCGTAGTGATAACTATGATGTTTGGGAGAAAGCAATCAGTCATGCTCTTGGTGGTCGTGGTAAAGCCAAGTTTTTGACGTCCACCAGAGTCCCTAAGCCAACGGATGAAGCCAAGTTGCAAGCGTGGGAGTCGAATCACTCCATCATCTGCAATTGGATCCGCAACAGTGTTGACGAATCCATACAGAGGAGTATTATTAATCATACGAAAGCATATGAACTGTGGGATGATTTGAAGAAGAGGTATGGCGGGTTGAACGGACCACGTATGTATCAACTCAAGTGTGAACTGCAGGGTTTACGTCAAAAAGGTCAGAGTGTCGTGGCCTATTACAACCAATTTATCACGCTATGGAATCAGCTTCATGGCGGTGAAGACCCTACTGGAGGGTGTGTTTGTCCTGCCGCCGAAGTCACACGTGCCCGAGTCGAGCGTGAGAAGACAGTGGACTTCCTATTAGGACTCGACGATGAACAATACGGACATGCTCGTTCCCAAATTATTAGTGTTGATCCGGTTCCTGACCTTGACAGGGCTTTCTATATCATCACTCAAGAAGAACGGCATCGTACTATAGTCCGATCACGCGATGACCGTACAGACGGGGTTGCGTTCGCAGCTCGACGTCCTCCCAGTAATCGGTCGTGTACTCACTGTGGTCATACTAACCATAGTGTGGATACTTGTTTTGAGTTAATTGGCTTCCCTGAACATTATGGCCGTGGGGGAGGACACAGTGGAACTCAGCGTGGTGGAGGTGGTCGCGTTGTTGGTGGCCGTGGCAGTGGCCGAGGGACTGCCAGGCCTGGCAGTGGGTCTCCTGGCCATGGGTTTCTGCTCGGCAGTCAGCGTGCTCCAGCAGCAGGTGAAACAGCAGGTGCTCATGCCGTCAACACAGAATCCCAGGGTAATCTCAGCGATCAAATGGCTAGGCTTATGTCCTTACTTGAGGTCGTCTTCGTCTCAACAATACAATGGTATGTCCTCTTCCTCTCTTGAGTGGTTGATTGATAGTGGGGCATCTCACCATATGACTGGAGATAAAAATCATTTATTTGACGTCGTTGATATTTCTCCATGTGGGATTTGCTTACCCGATGGATCTCGGGTACAAGCCCGTCAACAAGGGAGAGTTCGACTTGCGCCTACATTGGTGCTCTCAGATGTATTATTGGTGAAAGGTAACCATGCAAGGATAGGCAGCGGAATATAAAAATTTTAACATCCTAACATGATTATCTTGCCCATAATCACGTACTAAAACTTATAGTAGTAAGAAATTTGTACCTTTCTCCGTAAGCGGTAAAAATGAAGAAGTCGTAGGAAGAGCGTTGAAAATGCAAACGTAACCGTTCAAGCGTCCGGTCTCCAACTTTGACACACGAACAACGCCGGAGTCTACCACAATCTTTATGCTAGTAAAGATTATAGTAGTATAAAATATAAAGATTAAAATTGGGATAATAATAATCTTGTATATTTCTATAGAAAATATTTCTAATAATATTTAGAAAATATTATAGATATTTTCTATACACAAAATGATATTAATGGAACAC